GTTTTTCCTTATATAAGGGATAATAATTGGCTTTTCATGAGTACTGAAAATAGAGGCAAATATAATTTTGATTTAATCATTTAACTGAATAATTTTGGTGTAAGTGAGAAGAACTCCTATTTCTTCAAATGCTTTTATAACCATTTATGGCAACACTGAATTTAGTAAAGTGTTTTATAGTGACAGTCTGCTCTTGTCAAGCCTTCTGGTTAACTAGACTATATTTAAAAGCACACTTACATTAAAATGAAAATATTAAACCTAGAACATGTACTCGCTACTTCCATTATTCTTGTGCTGAATGACATACAGTCTCTGTGAGATTGTTCTTCAGAGCAGAGGGAAAAATGGTGTATTTTAAAATTAGAAATTATTTTAAAAGAATTTTTGATTGCACCTTTGACATGACTGCTGGCTGCACTGAACCACCTGATTACTGCAACAATTCAGAATGCTCAATTTCTGCCTGATTTGATAGTCATTTTAAACTGGCTGTTTCCCTGTAAAGTTATAAGCAACTTCAAATATAAGCAGTGATTTGATAACAATGTTTCAGTAATTGCTGAAATACCTTCAGCTGCTGTTTAAAGGTACAAAAGAGCTCTTTACCTGTTCATTGTAAACTGAAAATGGCTGGAGAGGGATTTTTTTTTCAAGAGACTGAACATTTTCCAGAACTCTTAGTGACTAGACAGTCCAGATGAATAAATAATAGTGCCTCGTATGAGGGCAGAAGCTCCTGTTCGTTTCAAGACGAGAACTCCACTGCCCGGGCAAGGAGTGGCATATTCCTCCCAGTAAAACAAGGCCTTCAAAGCACTGTTTGAAAGCTCTGTTGTGCAGCCAGAGAAGCGACATGTCATGTATTATAATAAAACCTGTCTGCCCTGGAACATGGTCTGCACAGAAGATTTTTTTAAATTGAATCAATGTGGATGGTTCAGGCACTTGAACTATATATTTACTAGATAAACATTGATGATAGATTAGAACACAAAGTATTTTATTTTTTGTTATTTTTTTCAGATCTGTTTGTTATTCTACGGGTCTTACAAAAAAAGTGTGCTCCATGGGAAGGCATGCTTTGCATTTATGCTGACTTCACTGACGAACCCTTACTGACTTATGTGTTTATCTCACACGCAAATAAAGCACCTCCAGATTTGAACTCTGTCACTTGAATTCTGCTGGAAAAAAAAAAACAAGTCATTTTGGCTTGGTTTTCCTCGTAATTTTGGTTTATGCAGGCTCTTAAGCTGCATGCGGCATATTTTCTGGAATGCTTAAAATGGTTATATCAATCATAAAAACACAGGAGGACACATGTAATACTGTTTGTCTGCTTTACAGCTTGATAATCGTCACCCTTACTTGTCACCCCTCTTTCTTCTTGATCTGTTTTATCTCTGGTTTTGTTACATTTCTGCTTAAGACTGTGTTTTGCTTCAGATCTGCTATGTTGAGGCTATGCACACCACCACCAGTTTCTGTGTGTACACCCCTGGACCTTTGATTTGGTGGCCTGACAACTGCTTTGGTTTTCCGAGTCTGGTATTTAGGCTTCACTAAAGCCCTGATGACCCTTGCTCTCTACACCTCCTTAAGGGGGTTGCTTAAAGTACCTATGGGGCTAATTCCCTTTTGGCAAGCTCTGGGGAAAAGCTGCATCATGGTATTGCAGAACTGAACAGAGGCTGCTAAATCCCTGTCAGATTTTGAGATGTTTCCCACCCATTTTTCTTATAAGATCCTGTTCAATATGCTATTTCTGCCCATGTCTGAAAACAGGGCAGAAACCTATGAAATTTCGGGTGACATGGAAGAAATATATAAGGACGGATTATTTGATTCTTTCCATGTCACAAGAAGCAGAAAGCATTCGAGCAGCAGCTCTATGATGAAAGGATGTACTTTTTCACAAAACACATAGCTTAATTGTGGAACTCGTTACCGTGGGACACTGTAGAAATCAAAGGTCTAAATAGATTCAAAAGATCGTAAAGGGTATGTTCACTGGGAGCTGTTTAATACAGCAGTTGGATGTCACCTTGTCTCAGAGGTGGCAAAAACCATATGCTCCCGGAAGAGTATTCCAGGAAATACCTTTTGCTATACGCCAGTTTTTGTCTCCTTTTTTCTGAGGGAGGCCCAGGCTTGGGCTTAAATGGAGCTCCCTAGCCTTGGGGAGAAGGTGGGTGGATGAGGCTGGTCCAGGCAGCTAAGGTCATCTGGTGGCCTCAGGCCCTGAAACGCAGGTTCCTTTGCAAACTGAGTTGTTTTTGTTAGGTATTCTTGTTTTCTTTCTCTAATTATCGGTAGGGTAGTAATATGAGTTGGAGTGATAGATGAATCTCTCATATTTAACAAAATGGATCACCTGCCCGGTAAAGATTGCAGGGAAGTCTATAGCACTTAGGAAATAACAACAGCAGCAGAATCCCTGACTCCCTGTGTCATTTTAGCAGACGAAGCTATTTGTTCCTCACCAACCAGTAAAAGTTAACACAGACTGTTAGGATAACAGTCAGGAGGAAGTCTGCAATAAGCAAATAATTTCACTTACCAGGACTTCTAAGACAGCAACTGCAGCAGTAATAGACTATTATTACCAATTAAAATAAATGGAAAAAATATACCCATGAAAACTGCAATCTCTACCAAGAGAACCTCCTGAGTCAAAGTCTACAGTCATTTGCAGTCAGTGGATTTGCAGGAACGTGCATTAGCTTAATTCAGAGTAAATTTGGCTTATGTTGCAAAGATAGAACACTACACCCTATTTTGACTTCAGTTTTAGTAATCCACTTAACATTTAGTAGTAGAAGACGAACTTCTTTGTAATGACCAGAATGGTTTATACATCTGTTGTAAATCAAACGAAAGCTAACATGAATAGCTTCTGAATCTATTGTCAGGTCAACTACGTGATTTTTTTTTTTAACTAATTTGCAATTTCCTGACAGTTTCAGAACCTTGGTTACTGCTTAGATTTAGATCTCAATTGATTAAATAGTTTTCACTGTATCCAGACCCTTCAAATGCTTTCTCACTTCTTGATATATGTGTATTTGGTCCTGCAGGATGGGTGCAGCTGTTGTGGAGGTGAGGGTGAGAGGGCTTAGGCACTCACAAGGTTCAGAACGTCTTCTGGACCAGATCATACTGACAACAGTGACTTTCCATGATGCTTAGGCAAAAATGCAGAGATATCTTAGCATCAATCAAATGACCAAAGCCAGAAAATAGCATTGGTACCCTGATGCACATCTCTGACATGATATATAGGATAATAGGAAAGCAACCGTAAGCTGACTTGAAGAGATGTGATAGAAATTCAGAGGTAAAATCTTGGCTCTATTGAAGTTTCCAGTCAAGGAGTTTCCAGTCAAGAGCCAGGAGTCTCTCCAGCCTATATTCCTCTGAATGTGCAATAATACTATTGATATTTTGTGTAAACGAAATAGTCTAGATGAAGTGAGCATGTGGAAATGCCTGAAGAATCATTGCTTACAAGATTCATGAACTATTAGAGTAGCAACAATTCGTTGTGTAGAAAAGATTTGAAAGATACACAGTGTTAGAAATGAGATGGCATGGGTAGCTGGCCACCACTGAACACATAAGCACTAAGAAGATACTAGAAACTCGACTACATTAAAAATAACTTTTCAAAAGTTATTAAAAGAAATATTAAGTCTGCGAAGCGCAGTCCTTTGGCAAGTAATACATTCTATATATCCATGCTGACATCAGGGTTAGTTCCCTTACCTGCAGCTGGGTATATACTATGAATAAGCATAAGTAGAAGCTCAGGAACTTATGCTGGGAAGTGGGAATAGAAATTGGTTTTATACAATATTTTCCCTTAGAGTTAGCATCTCTGTCCTAAATATATTGTGTATCCAATTGTATTAGAAAAGGCCAGTTAGCTTGCTTTCTTAAACATTCTTGCTTTTCAGCATTTAATATAACTTTTCAAGAGCTCTGAATAACATTTGTCTCCAACTTTTTTTTTTAATTGGAAGCACAGATACAGTTTTCTTTTTTATATAAGCATGCTCCAAATTTCTGCGCCATTTTAGTTCTAAAATATATTTTAAGAATTTTCATATGCTTTTAATAATTTCATAATCAAAATTGGCTTAACCGGTCATATGTTGTCTGCTAGAAATAAACGGAAACAGAAATCCCACAGCTGTTATTGTATACAGCTCTATTTCTGACTTTTGAACTTGTCTTAGTAATAACAATTAGTGATTATCTGTTTCAAGGGTAAGCATATATTACCGGTTTATGTAAAAATCCAAATTCTCATTGATTTACGTGGCTATAAATTTCTGTACCTATAGCTATACTCTGCTCTCCTTCATCATCCGTGCATAGACAATCTCATTTCTCCTAGATATCGTTCCAAACCCAGCACAAGTAAATTGTCCAAAAGGAAATTGATATACTTTGATGAAAAAAAATTAAAATTATCCAAAAATTTCTTTGAAATTTTATGAATTGAACATTGAATACTATCATTTGACTCTTTCAGAGAAAGAAATAAGAATCTTTATTTTATAAGGTATATACTTTCCTATAAAACTGCTGTTGTTGAACAACCTGTTGTAGAAATTTTTCAAAAGAATTACTTTGAGGGTGAGGTAGAGAAAAGGTTCTTTTAAATTCAAAGTTGCAGTGTCCCCTGAAATTTTCGTCAAAAACATGTTCTGCTGATTTTCTTTAGCTTTTGGAATATTAATTCTCGTATTCTACAAGCAGCCTTTATAAAGAATATTTTCTATAGCTTATGGGGGGAAAAAATCTGTGTAGATGACCAGGCAGTCATATTCATCAAATATTCTACTTTTTTTTCAGTCAAGGCTGCTGAGAACTCCTGTAAAATCTTTAATGTGCAAAGAATGCTTTACTGTGGTAAAAATCATTCTGAGTGACTTAGACCTCAATATGCAGAATTCTATATAGGCACCAACATTTTTATTAATTTCCTGTAGGAACTGGGTGCTGAAGCATCTCTGGGGACTCTGACCTCTCTTGCCACCATCTGCAAGGCTTTGAACATATCCTAAAGTGAAGCTATGAGGTAAACCTATGGGAAATGTTTGTGAAATTGTAACACTTCATATTGTCATGCCTGAATTATTGCTTCCTCACCCTCTGGTTGAACTAGCATCTCTGAGCTAGATGTTTAAGTTCCCATATGAAACATTAGAAGAGTCAGGCAACAAAAATATTAAAAAAGCCAGTATGGTCACCAATCATTTAAACTAATCAAAAGGAAGTGCCTGGGCAAAGAATATCTTAAGTTGTGTAAAATACCACATGTGCATCAGCAGTGCTTCTCCTACTCATTCCTGTCTTCTTCCTGTTGCCTTCCTTTCCCTCCTCCAGGAAAATAAAAGAAAAAAAAGGCCACAACAGATTTTCTCTTTTGTAAAAGTTATAGCAGTTTTCTTTAGCCAGATTTGTAGATTCATATTTTAAAATGCTTGTGCTTTCAAAAACCGGGTTAGGTTCTGACTTAGGTAGGAAATAGCGAAAACCTATTTTGTGAAATGTGTTCTTTTACGGCCAAATGTGAAACATAGCTTGATTTCTTTTATCTTCTGCCTGGAATAACTTTGTTTTATATGCAAAAGCTTTAATGTTGCAATAAGAGTTTTTTAAATTGATTTTAATAGGTGTAAGAATGGGTCTCTGTGGATAGCCATTAAAAGAGCCTGGCAACTCACAACTGCTTCTGAAAATAGAGTTGCACTATCCTCAACTCCTACTCAAAAATTTTGTCAAAAATGCCTTGATGTAATGACTTCTTTGATAATTAGGATTCTGCCTTAGAAGGGAAATTACCTACTGCAAACTCCTACAATGTTGACATTTTTTTCCTTTTTTCTAATTAAAAGTGCCCAGGTTGTACAAGAGAGTACAAACTGGAAAATTCATGAAAGTGTCAGTTCTGCAGGAAAAACAAGATTTAAGGAACAAAAACAAGATTTAAGGAACTCAGTAATACGGGAGTTAAACATCATGCTCTAAAGTTTAATTATGCGCCTTGACTGGGCAGTGCCTGTGGGCAGTGTCTTGTTTCAGAGTCCTGGTCCCCTGACCATGGCCGTGGCTTTGCACCCCACAGCTGCTTGCCAGCCCGCTCCCAGGAGTTTCCTTTCTGTAGAAATGAGGGTTGGGGAGGACCTGGTGTGAGCCTGGCCCTTGCCATCAGGCAGCCCTTGGAAAGTCGTGCCCGGACTTGGAGCTCAGTAGTGCTCCAGTATTCGCCAATTTGGATGTTCCTTCAGGAGCCAGTTGTCCCTGTTGCCTGTTACAGACCCTCTTATTTCAAACACAGAAGGGAATATAATATTCCTTGAGGAAACAATTTCCCAAGTTGGTAGTGAGCGAGCCAAGAGTATAATAACATAAACACAGACTCTGATCCCAGTTGTTAGCCAATGCCATCTTTCTTTCCAGAGATACTTTAGTAAGCTGTTGGTCTGAGACACATGCTGTGAAGCAGAAATGTTATTAACCTTTCTTTTCTGTTTCCGCCCCACTTGATAGTCTCACCATCACAATTTCCCTTCGTTGAAGAAGCTGTAAAAGTAAGGGGAAACATCCTGTTGCAGTTCTGATCTGTATAGTGGATTGATACGTTATTAGTAACGTAGTTCGAACATAGTGATCCTTACTGTATTCAGTAACTTCTGTTTTCATTTCTCTCTGGCTGGCTGGAAAGATTGGATGTGTTCTCGCTAGCTGAAATGCTTTTTCTTAAAGGTAGTTCCCTGATGTTGTCATCGGGGGCATATTTCTTGAGTGACCATGGCTTCAGGAAATTTTAGAGCCTCTAAAATGAAACACATTCCTTACCTGATGGGAAAAATTAGATTGTAACTAAACCTTGGGATTGTGAGAGCTTTGCTTTATTCAGAAATGTGCATTTTAACAATTTATATATCAAAATACTTTTTTCAAATAAAAAGATTTATTTTGTTTCTAGCGTTGTTTGGGTAGGGTTGTCAGAATATCAATTATTTCTTTCACTGTGGCAGCCAAACAACTATCTTTTCAAAAAACCCTTGGACATTTCTGTAGCTAGTAAGTTGTGTAGTCGAAACTAAATGCAGACAATTGGAATTTTCCTGCTTTTGCAGTCAGCAATGTAATATATACTCATTGCTTCAAATAAAGAAGTTACTCACTTTTTATTCTGTGCTAAAGCAGCAGCTGGATTTGAAACATGATCTCTCTATTCTTTTTGTTGACTAAAGTGATTGCTGGGCTGGGCATCTTCAGCTATAGGCATAATTTTAAAAATCAAACATATTGGACTGTCAGACCTGGTTTTCTGTTTCTTAGCATATTACCAAGACTTCACAACAAATTAGAAAATTTCTGTAGGTAGTTGGGGTTTGGATGGCCCTGATGCTAAATACAAAACCACCAACAAAAGCATCAACAGACTAGGGGACAGTGGCAGAGTACTGATTATGTAATCTGGAGAAAAATATCTTTTATATTAGATATCACAACATTTACCTTCAAGAAAAGAAAAAAAAAAACAAAAGAAAGAAACAGAGCTGCAGGAGTAATATGTTTTCTAACAAAGTTATCTTGACGGTGGAAAGGAAGATGACAGAGATTGTCCTTGATGACTGCTTGCAAAGGACTTTTCTGCTGTCTCATACATCTATTTAGAAAGAATAAACCCTTCTTGGGAATATATTTTTATAGTCTTAACTCTCTAACCCTTTTAAAAAGGGTTTTGAATCTGAATATAGCCTTACCCCAAATTTTGTTGCTTCAACAATTTTTTTTCAGAGAAACTCATAACACAGAGACATCTGTGGCATTTTCTGCTGACAATAATTATAAGGAAACATGCAATAGCTTATACAAAAAAACATTTATTTCTGAGGGTGATAAAATGCTGGCAGCTCCTCATCCTGTAGAATTAACCTCAGGTTTGCATATTTAAATCGATCTTGAAAGAGTAAGTCAATACGGACATGTGGCCTCCGAACCATATTTGAACATACTTGAATAATTTATAAGACATACAAACTGTGAAAAATGCCTTCAATTCTATTATGTGTTATTATCCATACAATAAAGTACATAGACTGTCCTTGGAGAAGGGTGTGGAAACTCAAGGAAACTCAAGTGCATTTCCTCCTACCTAATTACTTTGCTAAAAAAAAAAAAAAAACAAAAAAAAGTGGTGGCTGCCATCATGTTTTCTGTCAATCCCGATCCTGTTGATGCATAATGAATAAACAGATGAGAGCTTCAAGACTTGTTTCTTCATAAAGGATTTATGCAGAAAATTTCTACTTTTTGTTTCTGATTTAGGCATGAGGTGATCACCCAGTACCACAGCACTCTTTAAAGTATTACTATTCTGTTTGTATGTCCAAAAGTAGAATTTTTATGTGTTTAGGAAATTTTAAGGTCACAAGTAGCTGCAACAATCACATTAGAATATTTCTAGGGTTAGAAATTCAGCTGGATTGGAGGACTGCAAGGCTACAATTGCAGCTTTATCTAAAATCTATTTCAAGCCCTGTTTAGAGAGCTACCATTCTTTTTTAGCTCTGAAATTTAATATTTTTGCCTACTTTCCCCATCAGCAAAATGGGGATAGTTGGGATTTTTTCTTTCCTGCATCTACTTTATAAAGCAAATTCTTTGATATATTTTTGTGTTTGTACAAACTTAAATTTCACTTGTAGGCTCTGGATGTACTCCTGATACATTAAAATGCTATAAAATAACAGCACATTAAAATGAGAATAATTAACATTTTGCAGCAAGTGCTAAATTTAATCTGAAGGAAATATGATTTTAGCACTGAGATACTATTTCACTTTATCCACATTTTAATAAACATATGAAGTAGTAGCAACCCCAAGGCAAAGCGGCTACAGTAATTTAAGATTATACCCCAAAAACCCTAATATACTCTTATAGAGTAATTTTGTAGATATTAAAAACATACAGTTGTAACCAGATCTGAAGTACTGTCAATTGTTACATTGAATTAACTATACTCTCTAAGGAAACAAAAAACATTGCTTTTAAAAATTATAGAGTAATCGAATTCTCCCATAACATTCATATTAAATTCATTCATGTTATCTCTTGAAATGGTAAACATTTTGCGAAATGCAAAAAATACCTTGATTTTATTCAGGGACAGAAACAGACCTCAAAGAGGTTATTTCTTGTAGATGAATTTAGCGCTCAACTTTTTTTTTTCCTTCCATAGGCCCAGTTGTATTGTTCTAATGTAAAAATCCTACAGTGAAAATTCCATGGGAATTATAGTTGCATGCCATAATCTTAAATATCATTTTTTCTACTGCATCAGTGATACAGTGTTTTACTTAAAGAAGCAGCAGTACGTGTGAATGTATGAACGTATGAACGATAGCACTGCCAAATTTTTAATGGGGAAGAGCATGAGTGTTACGGTTTTAAAATAATTTAATTTACTACTTGGTGGGGGGACCGGGGTTCATTTGTATTTTCATTTCTTTATACTACTTTCTGTCTTGTTCTTTTGCTACTCTTCGCTCACCAGATGTATTTCTTCCTCTGTGGTAGTTTACATTCTCTGTTTCATTTCCTGAATTGTATTCCCACCTTTGTTCTTTTAATCAACAATTCCTTGTATATTTTATCATAATTCACATTTAATTTTAATCTTAAAGCAAAAATTTGTGTAATTCATTTTACAGCCATCGACGATGAATCGAAAAGACGTGTAAAGTGAACTGTTTTTATCAATAGCCTCTTCTTGTATTTGTTCTCCAGTCACTTTTCCTTTGCTATCTGAGTGCTCATTTACAAAATGTTGCTGTCATTAATCCTTATAGTTTTCTAAAATTCTCTGTTCTGTCTTGCTTATAAAGTAAAACTATTACTGATAAATCCTTTCCACTGTATTCTGAAGGACTACACCCTGCAAGGAAAAGAGATATTCTTCCACTAGCTGTCTTTCATTCTTCCATTAGATGTTTTGATCCTGGCAGTGACCTGGACCACCTCTTCCCACATTCGTGTCTCTAGGGCAGACTGCCAGCC